TCCGCGCTAAACTGCGGCTCAAAGCTGCAACTATCGCGATCACAACGCGAATTTCCTATTTCGTTATTCCCTTTATTCGCCCAAGATATTTCGAGTGTTCGACATCTGTTTTTAAACGACTCTATTTTAAAAAATTCACTCTTGCAAGATTATTTATCCAATCATGCGTATTTATCGTTCTTATATTGTATTTGGTTGTGTCCGAGTTCGTAGGGTAACCGTCTGTTGTTTATGTTATTATGTCACGATTTATTTTTACCTAAATAAATTTGTAAGTCAGGAGAGTAAATTTGGATGCCAAACAACTCTAATTACGAAGGGTTTCCTAGGTTAGTTACGCAATCCGAGTATTTCGAATCACGCCACGTTTATCGTCGGCTTCATTTTACGGGCGAAACGGACCAAGTAACCGCGACACGCGTTGTTTAATCGAAGAGCGTTGCACCGACCAACAGTCGCACATACGCGTGTCATTATACATATAGAAGACATACGAACGACACGTGTTCCGTCACGAATTCAAAATGCAAATATATGAGCCGCGCGTTATTAATACAAATTATATGCCGATATAGCAAGTCTCAAGAAATGAATCCTTCAACACAAAACGAAACAAATTTTCAATTTAGATTTGTATAAACTTGAACGATTTAAAAAATGAAATATGTTAATAATTGCAAATTTTCTATGTTTTATGCAGATGTTGCAGAATTAAAACACTATCGAAATCATTACAAAAATCAAGTTCAATATTAACGTTCCGATTGGCATTTTTACGACGTATAGCGTATTTCCGATCTTTTGTTTCGGTCCACCTGAACATACGTTCGTTTCTAACAATGTAGATGAACTTTAATCTCAGTTTAATTTATTTTTTATCTTTTTCTAGTTCTAAGAATTAGAAAAAAATTAAGAGCGAGTTAAATCAAAACTGCAATTAATCTACATTGATAAAAATGAATGTTAAAAGAAAAAAGAAAAAAAAATATAGAGTAAATTGAACGAAAATTAAACTACATTGATTACGCGCGAGAGACACGCCGCGCCGTCGCCTTCGAGCAGTCAGTCGTTTTAACCGACTGACCCTATCGACGGCGAGCGATTAGACTGAAGCGTAGTGCTCGACTTCCGGTTCAGCTGTTCGCACAAAGATCCGCATGTTTCTCCGACCCGCGTGCCTCGCGCCACAGTGTTTTGTTGCCCGTCGCTTGTTTCCGCTCGGTATGCTTCGTCCCGCTCCGTCCTACTCTCAGTTATCCCCACTTTCTCTCTCTCTCTCTCTCTCTCTCTCTCTCTCTCTCTCTCTGTCTCCTACTGTACCGCTCGCCCCACCTCGTTCCCCCGTTGGCGCTCAGAAGGTAGGCGCACCTCGTGCGCCCGAGAATTTCCTCATTGACCCGCGCGCTCCGTATTCCACCTGCGACTCGTCATCACCGTTATTAATATCGTTCCCCGTTGCCGCCGCGCGGACCTCGTTATCGTTCCCATGGCGGGAATCGTGCTACCGTCGTCACCTCCATTTTCATCGCCGTCATTGTTGACGGTCGCATAAAACCCTCCTTCCGACAAAATTGGGCAAGGTACAGCCTTGCGAATTAACGATCGGTCGATTTATCGAACAATTGCGACTTAACGATTGAATGAAGTAATTAACATCATGCAATCATGATGGTGGATTAACAAGCAGGCTTAAATAATCATTAATTATAAGTTTTTTAAGTAGGAAACGCGCGAGTAGTCAGTAATTACAATTGGATCGATAGATTGACGTGACATTTAAAAAATAACGAGACCGCTCGATAAACTAATGCGGTATCTTACGCGGTATCTTTGATAACTAATAGAAGATTATGATTAAAGAATTTTAAATCATTCAATCGCAGACAAGTTAAACACGACTGTCGATAGTGTCATTCATATGTTTCACACGATAATAACAATTTCAATAAATTCGTTCGTTCCGATTATATGTGAAAATATTCTCTCAAATTCTCTCCATTTTATGATGACATATCATACGATATTTTGCATATTGCTCTGATATTTTATGTTTATTTTGTATGTTTCATTCACAAAATCATAAGAGAAAAGGGAAAGAAAAAAAAAAGAGAAAATCCTGAAAAACATTCGCGAAAGAGTTGGAAAAAAGCCCAAGGAGGACAACGCTCTCTCGATCTCGCGCGAGATCACAATGAATGATCCTTTTCTCCTTCCTTCCCCTTTTACGCGGTCAGACACGATTCTCCCGATACCCTTCGCGTGCCGCCGCCTCCTCGTTTGCTTCTTCTCGTCGTCGTTTCCATTCGACGCGTTTCCAGTCGCGTCGAGTGCCGACCCCAGTGCCCGAGAATTCTCCTCTTTCAACAGCACCCCCTGACCGGAGCAGCGCTTCTCCTGTGAAACAAAATACATCTCTCATTAAAATATATTTCAACGATGCTAATCAACAACCAGTGATTAACGGCGGATTAATTATTTCAGGAAATAAATCACTATAATA